TCCAACCTGGCCTTGGACACTTCCAGGGATACAGGGGCAGCCACAGCTTCTCTGGGCAACCTGTGTCAGTGCCTCACCAGCCTTAAATTTTCCAGAAATTTTCCTTAAAGCTCATTTCTTCCATATTTACCCTCTCTGTTTGTAAGAGGGGATGGTGGTGTAGGTCACCTGTCTGCCTGTGACTCACCAACACCTTGGACTGACTGAAAACCGCTTGGAGAAACTTTAAAATTTATGTGGAGAAGGGAGGAAAATCTCTTTCTTACTGCAAAGGCCAACTCAGCATCCTTTTTTTTTGAAATCCCTGTGAGAACAATTTGTCAGAGAACATTGTGGGAAGCGAGGAGCTGAGCCTGGTGGAGCCAGGCTGAGCTTGAGCGCTCCCGTGGTTCGAGCTCCTCCATACCACCAGCAAGAGCAAAAATCTTTTTATCAGTGACTATACAGGATAAGAAGGAGAATTTCCCAAAGGATAGGCTTCCTCCCTAAGTTTCATTCTCCGAGGAGGCCCTGAGAAAAGCAGACACACTGGGAAGTTGGTAGCTCCAGACAAGTAGGTGCACGCACCGGGGTGAATACTCACCTGTAGGTACAGGGAGAGCTTTCCCAAATTGCCCAGAACCTGAGAAAATGGAGATAAAATCAAAAGGCAATTGCAGTTAATTATGCTTTCAAGGCAACTGGAGATTGGTTGGAATCCTGTGGGATTTCTGAGGCCTCCCAGTGCAATTTCAGGCTGAGTGTGGGGAGGAAGGTTTGGTTGCTGTGGTTGTAGGTGTCTCAGTTGTGTCTGTCACCTATTGCTGGTGTTGGATGAGGGCAGCTTTAGGGCTGTGGATGGCACAGATGTCATCACCAACAAACAGTTACCTTCTCATGGCAAATTCTTCTTAATAGTTTTTGGGGTTAGATTTTAAAAAAACAACAAAAGAAGCATTTTTTTGCATGATTGAACTTCATTGTTCTTCTTCCACCCACATACTTTCCCGTTTCTTCCCTTCCTCACCAAAATCTGGCCTGCATTTTATGTTCTGGGCAACGGGAAAAAGCCACCTTCCAAGAAATCTTTGGCTTACAGAGGAATTGGGATGTGACCAACCTCCTACAAATGCCAGATGTTGGACATTCAGGGGGTTGCAGGTGAGCTGATGTGGGGTGACAGCCATAGAAATCCATCACGACAGTTGAAGGTCTTGTTTTCTGTGATTTGAGCTTGGGAAACAAAGGAAGAGCCTTACTTTAATTCCAGAAAAACCAGAGTCTAGAGGGATTTAACAATGGGAGATAACAAAATAGAGCTGTACAGGAGA